ACTTCCCTGGCCGGAATGGATTTCAACGTCATCGATTTGTCAAGAAACAAGCTCCAAGGCGACGCCTCCATGATTTTCGGCGCGAACAAGACGACCCAGATCGTGGATTTGTCGAGGAATCTGCTGGAGTTCAATTTGACGGCGGTTGTGTTTCCGCAGAGCCTGACTTCGCTGGATCTGAATCATAACAAGATCTTTGGGGGGATTCCGCCGGAGATGACGAAATTGAGTTTGCAGTATTTGAACGTGAGTTATAATAGGCTGTGTGGCGAGATTCCGGTGGGGGGGCAGTTGCAGAGCTTCGATGTTTATGAGTATTTTCATAATAAGTGTTTGTGCGGCGCACCGCTTGGTAGCTGCAAATAATGATGGACTTTTGTTATCTCAATCTTGTGTATTGTGCAATCTTTAATATTAAATAAAGTTTGGTCATTTGAAAAATTTGTTCATCAGTGAGTTGTCGTTCTTATTATCTCAATCTTGTGTATTCTGCAATCTTTAAGAATAAAAAATGATGGACTAGCTTAAATCGCTTTTGAAAACTCTCTGCCTATCGTCTTGTTTTTTGTTCTCGTTCGTGTAGAGGACTTAAATCTATTGAGATTTTTTACCTCAATATGATTATTTGAAGGTTTTTTTAATGGAGCTTAATGAGTCATATTCTCAAGTATGTGCGCAATTTCCTCTTGATGTRTTCTCCTCCCACTCTATCAACAAGATGTTTGCACTAGTTGCTCAAGAAGAACGACAATGTTTTTATTGATATTCATGAACATCAGCAGGGTTACTACTCTTYGAGAGTGAATCAACTCATGTCACCATTTAATACCCGAAGAATGRGGGATCAATGTTATGGGTGAAATTATAGTGACGTGGGTCGGAAGTCCAACGCTGGAGCACCCGACCCAACCAGGTCAAAGGATCACATGACCACCGGACTAAAAGAGCACCGATTAGGGTTTAGACCACTCGATGGAGTGACAGTGACAAGAAGATTCCATGGTGGCTTGCGCCAAATGACGTGTCCTTCCAACGGCCTCCGATGTTTATCGATCACAGTGGCCAGCAACGAGCCCGACAACCTGATCTTAAGATGAAATTATATTTATCATTGTTTCCTTTATGTTTGATCTGAAATTCGATCAAGCTCGGAATCGACTAAGATCGAAACACACCTTTGAAGCACTCTCGAAGAACCTACATAAAACAAGGTTAGCATACCGGTCTAGACTCATTGTGAGAGTAGATCCACCTACCTTGTTTGGGTGGTAGACATCCCTATTTATAGGAATGGTGTCCAACAGGACTTCTAATAGTGGCATACCGATTGTCAAGAAATATCTGCGTTGCCTTTTCACCTACGGACATCTTTTAATAGGTCGGCTCGAACCTTAGTTAGGTCTGTCGGGCGATAATGAAACAACTCGGCTCGAATACTATATATCGAGCTGGCTGGACTTGTACCAATTGTCGTTATTTAAATATATTTACCTTCTTAGCTTCTTAGCTACTGATATATTGCTCATTAAAAGTAGTGGTTTTTAATTTCCACTTCAAATGTTGTTGTATCTAAAAAAACAAAAATCTAAAATAATTTATTGCAAACAAAATGTAAAATCAAATCACATGTTATAAAACTTAAATATTTTATTGTGTAAATGACTTTTTTTTTTCTTTTATAAAAAGATGTTTAAATAAAAATTTTAAAATATTCTATTGTGTAACTGAAATTTTAAAATATGTTTATTTTACTATGAACGTGGATATGACCGTAGTCATTGACATTAACACAAGTAGTGGTGAATTTTTAACTTTTGTGGAAGGCACATTAGATATAAAATTAAGGTTAACTACTCCCCTTCTCTTTTTGTAGGTCAACTCCCTCGATCTTCCAAGCAACAAGATTTCGTGCTTTCTCGGCTCACAACCCATCAGGTCACAGTTTCTCTTTAAGAAACTCAACCTCTTCTTGATCACTCGACGGTAGATCCACTCAGATTATACGGTTAGGTCAACCCAAACCTCTAGTCCGACCAACCCCCAAAAATTGCATCAACAAAGGAYAATTTGTGAGATTCAATTAAATTCTAGGGACCAAAGCTTTTAAAATTATAGATATGAATAGGAAATAAATCAAAATTATGGACATTAAATTGGAACTTTAATCCTAAGGACTGAATTGGAAATTGAGGGACTAAACTTACAATTTAACATATATTTTGTTAATATAAATAACTARCTAACAGCGTTACCAGAGCATAACTCAGCATGTTAAGGCACATATATTCAATCATGAGGTTGAAAGTTCAAATTCACACTCTCACATGTACTAAAATAATAATAATAATAATAAAACAGCTAAATTTTGGTTTATTTTAGTGTATATACTTTCAAAAGGTTCCCTTTTGATTCTGGTACTTTTAAAAAATGACCMCAATTTTCAATCTCATCAATTTGAACCCAACATTCCCTCAATGTAGTTTAACCTATAATTTACAAATAATATGTTAAAATTTTATTTAGTAGGAAAATGAAAGCCAATACGAGAAAATAAAAAACAGCTATATAGCATAAATAAAGAGCCTGAACCTATAATTTACAAATAATATTTTTAAATTCTACTTTGTAGGAAAATAAAAAACAGCTGTATAGTTTAGTCTTGCATAAATAAAGAGCCTGTAATTTACAAATAATATCCTAAATTCTATTTTGTAGGAAAATGATGGRAAAAAGAGAAAATTAAAAAACAGCTATATTGATTTGATATGATTTAAATTTTTTATTAGAAATTGAATTACGATTGGATAGGATTTAGGTTTCCTATTAGAAATTTAAATTACATTTGATTATTCCTATTATGATTAGGAATTGTTCTACTATAAATTAGGACGYTGAAGGACTCATATTTTGTTTCACACTCAAATTCTCTCTCCTCCCTAAAATTTGTCTTATATAGATTAGTTTTGCATAAGTAAGAAGTCAACTGCGAAGTAGACAATCAGAAGCCGGCGGAGATCACCGGAATCAAATTTTTTACCGTTGAGAGAAGGAGACGGAAAAACCTGTTACCGTTTTAATCAACTGTAATGGCTTCTTTCGCTTCTTCTTCTTCTTCTTCTTCTTCATTGCTCCGCTACTTTCTCCACGGCACCGTCGGCCCCTCCTCCGGCGACCCTCCGTTTCAATTTCTCGAAGTCCGATTGGGGATGATCTCCACCGAAGCTCCCTTCAGTGCTCCAATGGCGATGGCCAACGCCGTGTTCCCTCTCTCTCTCCGCCGATTCTTCCATCACCGCCCTCCCTTCCACTACCTGCTCTGGATTCTGTCCTCCCTCGACCTCCCCCCCGCCGCCTCCCACGCCGTCGCTCGGAACATCGCCGCCTTCGTGACCCACTTGACCCGCGGGAACGCCGAGGTCGACTTACGCGTCGTCGCCGTCGTCGATTACATTCAGATCGCGGTTTCGGTGGGGCAGAGGCAGAGGCAGAGTCGGAGTTGGAACGCCGACGAGAGTATGATTCTCGATGAAGTTCCGGCGCCGGAGCCGGCGCCGGAGTTTGTAGAAGAAGAAGGAGGAGGAGAATTGGGAGATTGCAGCATTTGTTTTGAGGAACTAAAAATTGACGGCCATGGCGGAAACGGGAGCGGGACGAAGAAGAATAAGGTGGTTAAGATTGGGTGTGGTCATGTGTACCACAAATCCTGCATCATCACTTGGCTTACTAACAAAAATTCATGCCCATTGTGTAGAATGCCCATTACTTTGAAGTTTTGAACAATCCAATTACATTAATTTTTTTTTGTGGGTGTAAATCCATTTTATTAATGGAGATAAAAATTTCATCATATGACTCACTGCCTATAATTGCCAACTCAATGGAATATATCTTTTATTGGGTTTTTATGCGACTTGTATAGTTCAATTGGTATTTACAAATGAATTAATGTTGCAATCTTGTAGCTTTAAATCAATTTTAGGTCATGTTTATTTACCAGGATTCAAAATTAGAATTGATCGGAATCAAATTAGTTTGAATAGGAATATTATTCATTTGACGTTCTTTACTATAAGTTTTCTGGAATCTAAATTGAAATTCTATTGATCTTGGTTACTACGAGTGAGATATATAACAATTATTAGTATATCCAATTTTTCTAATTACAAATACAATATTGTGTTAATATTTTTTTAATTAAAATAGTTATTTTATTACTAATATAAAATATTTTAAATTTTATTATACGAATATTTAGTGATAATGCATTATGTTTTAAAAAGTTTATTGATATTAATTAATAATAACAAAGTAAAATTAAATATACTTTTATAATATCTTATAATAAAATCACAACAACAAATAAAAATAGTATAAATTTTTATTAGGAATGTTTTTTAGTAGTATAAGTGAAAAAGAATTGATAGTGATATAAAATAATTAATTAAAAAAGTTAGGAGTCTTAGTAAACTAATTATAATAAAGGTGCGAGCCCACCTACTAAAGAATGAGGATGAGATTACAAAGTTTGAGATAAATCTACTTTTTCATTCCTAAGTTTGAGATAAATCTATTTTTTCATTCCTACACTTTGGTAAATATAATAAAAGAATTAATTATGATTCTCTTAAAGTAAACATCGACACGTTGAGAAATTTTATCAAATAGTAAGTGCTACACTTGAAATTTATTATATTATCTCCTCTCACCTTCTAACTTCAATTTATTTTGTGAAATCGAGCATAGTTCAAGTGGTAATATACCTATCTCTGACTAGGCCGGTCATGAGTTCGAACTCGAATTTTTAATACCCTTCGTTTAGATCGTGCAATGTTCGAACTCGAATTTTCAATACCCTTTTCGTTTAGATCGTGCAATTGTAAAAGATTTCAAAATAATTATTTAAAACCTTTTCAAGCTTAGGTGAGAAGAGAAACTATTTTCAAAACTGTGGTTGTATAAATTTGCCTAAGCGGCAACAGAATCTTAATTTCAACCTACAATGGCCGGAAAATTCAAACCTTCTTGGATTTCCCATCGGCGCCGATAATCTCCGAACTCTGAACCCCAAAATTAAGGCTGTAATTTTGGGGGCTAGGTTAGGTTTTTTTTTTCCAGCTTTCTTAACTTCAATCTCTGCGGCTTTAATTTCTCGCTCTTTGAATCTGATTTTGCCTAATGTTTCTGCGTTCTTCTCTAGGTTAGAATTTAGATTTTGCTATCTATCTTCATCTCGTTTAACTAATTTAGGGCTCAATCCGTTTGATCTTCGCTGAAATTGTTCTTTATTTGCTGTTTCTGCTGTTTCTCTTCTATACGTTAATGATCAATAATCTAGGGCTCTGCGATAAAGATCAATAACAACATCATAATTGCTCTTTTCCCACATCACACACAATTATTTTGGAACGTGTTCTGTTAATAAGTTTCATTGAGTAACATTGTTCGTTTTAGCCTTAAATTGCATTCTTGTTTCTGAAAGTAAAGTTCAAATCTGAATGATTGAGGGAGAAATTGATCATTTGCAGCTACTGAGTGGTGTGCCACACAAACACCTGTTGTGAAAATATGAATACATATTAAATCTCTGCAACTATCCACCCACTGGAATCTCTCCGCACAGCCTATTGTAGCTCACATTCAAGTATTGGAAATTCAGTTTTGTTATCTCCCCTGGAATGCCTCCAAATATCTTGTTATGGTTAAGATCCAGCGAAGTCAGGCTCTGGGTAAACACAATATTGGATAAGTTGAACTCCAACAGATTCCTTTATAAGTCAATGATCTGGATTGTCCTGTTCTCACCAAATATCATGGATGCATTGCCTTCGAGTTTGTTTTGGGACAAATCGATTACGGTGAAGTTCAGTCTGGACAAAGAGGGTGGGATTTTCCCAGAAAGTTGGTTGTGGGAAAGGTAAAGGGAAGGAGCCTGATCTCCAGGTAAGTACCCGAATGAGTTCGGGATTTGTCCTGTTAACTTGTTTCTGTCCAACTGGAGAGCGCCGAGGTTGGGGAGTTTCGCCAGCGAGCTTGGGATGGTTCCGGTTAGATTGTTGAAGGACAGGCTGAGATGGGTGAGATTGGTGAGATTGCTGAGGAAGTCCGGGACCAAACCAGAAATGTTGGT